TTAATGAAACTTATCTTTTCTCAGAAAAAAATAAATAAATAAATAAAACCCAATATGTAGGAATGACAATGGGGCAGCATCATACCCCGTCCCTGACCCTGACTTTGACTTTTAAATTAATCCCCATCAAGGAAAAACTTTAGCCTCCATCCCCGATCCCCAACAGAGACGAGTTCCCCACCCTTTATTTAAAATAAAGGATAAAATTAAAATATAAATAATATTTTAAACAGATTTTGATATATAATATAAATAAGAAATAATATTATATGTTTAATACACACACATCCCCATCCTTGTCGGGTCGGGGGAGGCTAGGTACTTGGAAAGGATGGGGAAAATTGTCGTCCCTACCAAGATGGGTATGAGAGTCATTCAATAATATAAGACTCTAACCTACCTATCAGAAATAAATAAATAAAGCTTGGCCTTACATCATCGGATCATCACTTGGTTCTTCTAGGTTGGAGTTGTACAACACTTGAGATGGGAACCTACAACAGTAAGAGCCTTAGATTTCTTAGTTGGTTCATTAATCTCAGTATATATATATATATATATATATATGTATGTATCAGAATTTTTTGACATGTCAACTTGTTGCAAAATAAGTACTTTAAACTAAATAGGAAGTGACAATTTTTGCATGCCCAAGTCCACAGATTGGATAGTATTATGTGATATCTTAGGAGTACAGTTGCAAACAGATTGGATCAAATTCGGATAGGGGGATATCGAAATATGATTCAATAAGAATCTAAGAGATCTGAATTTTAGGAATGTGCGTATATGTTTTTATTCAATTATTTTATAAATTGACCATATTATATAATTTTGTGATGGGTACTTTCTATTTTATGTAATTCAACTTTTATTTGATGCATGAAAATTGAAGAGCTTTCTTAAATCAGATCTGTGTGAACAGACCTGTAAATGCCTTTTCTTTGGGATCTCTAACTTCATCCCAAGTCTCTACCATTTAGTATAAAGTGACATAGGACTCGGTGCTAAGAATTTAAATTGTCCAAGAACACTGAAGACAGAAGAAAGGAATTAAATACAACACTTAAGTTGAAAACAGGAGAGAAAGAGGGGGAGGGGAAGAGGAGAAGAAAAGGGAACCAAAACATATGATTGAAATTACCTGTAAGCATATAAACATAAATGATTCAAGGAGAGGAGTAAAGGAACAGGTCCAAATTTAAAAACAAATATAATAGACGACTTAAAGTACCTGCAATATAATGTACGAATCCCCCATGTAGAATTATAAGAATTCTTAGTAAGTTATAACAATGCTTAGTAGGTAGAAATTCTTGACAAGACCTACCAATCAAAATGGATGATCTATTAGATTTTCTCTGATTAGTTCTTGACAAGACCTACAGGTTATTTCATTGTACTTCTAAATACCTAGCTTGGTGATTATGTTTTGAATGTCTAAATTTAATTTATGAATGCCAATCTAACAATGTTTATTTCATTGTACTTCTAAATACCTAGCTTGGTGATTATGTTTTGAATGTCTGAATTTAATTTATGAATGCCAATCTAACAATGTTGTAACAGGTTAAAGTGAACATACTGAAGAAACTTAAAGAAAAGGGGACACGATCACGAGCAAGTAAATCAGGGATCCGCCCGACCACTAGTAACACACCCAATATAGAAGATACACGGGCACATGCAAGTCAATCAGTGGCTCATCCAACTACTAAATCAACACCTGATGTAGATGATACTACATCACCAACTCAGTCACAGACTTGGGAAGGCATGAGGAGTCCTCTAGTGGGCATGTTGGAGAGGGGCCTTCTCATACAACACGTAGGTTAAGAGGCCCCACTATGGCATTAGATATATGAAACATGCTTGAAGGGGAACAAATTGAAGTAGGGTCCAATGGATACAACCAACCCAAAGATGAAAAAGCAAAGGACTTAGATTTTTGGGTAGCCTTGCATGAACTCTAAACCAATTGCCCATAAACATCGACTATTGGAGAGAAATTCCTATAGAAACAAAGGAAGACATATTAAATTCATTGTTTTTTCGGTTTATTTTTTAGACATTTCTCTTATGCAGACATGATATTTTGGTTATAGAAAAAATTCAAGGTGAGTGATGGCATGAAAAGACTATAATATGAAGTCATTGGGTAAAAAGTGGAGGGATTGGAAGTCCACTTTGAAGAAAAAGTATTATGACCCTGATTCACATAGTGCAGATGCACTACCAATTGAGCAGCTTGGAAATCAGGTTGATGCACACCAATGGAAAATTTTGGTTCAGTTTTGGAGATCTGAAAAGGGGACTGTAAGTATCCTAAATATTTAAAATATTTTTGTTTTTAATTTGAATGAGTGAAAAGTAAATTAGTTGTATTTTAATATAGGCAAGATCCATAACCAACAAAGCTAACCACTCCAAACAAAAAGTCAATCATACAACAGGAGCAAAAAGCTTTGCAAGAGTACTTGGGGAATTGATAAACATACAAATTTGATTTGTTCATTATACTCTTTACATTCATTCATTTTTGTATGTGTTAAAATAATTACATGTTGTTTTCATGGTAACAATAAATAGAGAGGGAAGTTAATATATCATGTGCGGAGGTATTCTATGCAACACACAAGAAAAAAGATGGAACACCTATAGATCCAAGATCAGGTTCTTTAATGGTATACTTATTCAAGTATGTATTAAATGGTATGAATTAACAAGTTGTTTTGAATTACTAATAGTTTTGTGTAATATTCAAGGAGAAAATGCAAAATTGCATGTCTCAAGAGAAAGACACTCAAAATGAGGGCATTGAACAAGAACACGAGGATGTCTATGCTCGTGTAATGGGCCAAGAGCGTCGTGGCCGAGTGCGTGGTCTAGGTTTAAGCCCAACTCCATCCAGGTTCAGGGGCCCATGATAGAGCCATGAAGATGCCTTAAGGGCTGTTAACGAAGGTAAAAGAGCAGATAAAGAGCGTTCACAGAAGTTGAAAGAACAAATTTCAGCTGTCATCAAACGGCCCCTCAGTCAACTAGAATCTGATAAGATAAAAAATCCCCTCAAAATGAACTCATTTCAATTCCAATGTTTGAATGAATGGGACTCAGGTCTATCTGGACAAGTTGTTGGGTCTGCCTCCTCCATGCTTTCCTAGGTAGTTGGAAGACAATTGCTTGTAGGTTGAACCTTGAAGCTGTTGAATTGATTCATTTAGATGACAGCCTATATAATGACAAGCCATCTAAAGATATAAGATTTGTGTTATTTTTCTTGGGGAACTACCAGGTACCAAGTCAWCAACTATCTATGCAGTTAATTCTTTTTCCTTTTTTGTTAATCAATACTGCACTATTTTACCACTATGTTTATACCTAGTGATCAGTTCATGCTACATGGACAATCGGGTTACTCAGGCATCAATGAGGTTGATTGCAGACTTTTTTTTTTCAGTAATTTGTCTTGATCCAATGGTCCTGTAATTTCTCCAATTGCCAATTCAGGAGGTGAAGGTAGTAATTGGTCCAAGTCTGTCAAACCATGGATGCATTGCAATGTTTTAAAATGCATATGAACCTTATGCCTTGAGGTTCACCTAGAGGTGAGGCTCAAGGAAAAGGCCTCAAGGTTCAACCTTGAGGCATGAAGCTTGATCAGGTGTAAATAGCACATTCCCCAATGGCAATTGATATTCTTACTGGCCTTGCCTATGTTATCATCCATTCCTTTACATTACTCTTCCTATAGAAAGATGTAGTCATCCTTAAAATATTTTTTGTACTTTTCATCATATTTTTTTTCTTAAAGAAATGGCAATTGTAGTAGTTTAAGTGTACAGATGCTTTATCATGTGCTTCTTGTGGAACAATTTGACATTGCAATAACTACAGGTTATAGAGACAGAAGTATTGATGTACCCATTCTTACAATATTTCTATACTTTTCACCATATTAATTTCATATTTTTTCTTAAAGAAATGGCAATTTTAGTAGTTTGAAATATTACTAATTTCAACACCTAATTTCACCATAGAGACAGAGAAGCAGGAYTCTATGTTTGAAATACTATACATTCAACACCTAATTTTAGTATTCTAATTAACATTCTTATGGGTCCTGTCCTGTAACAGTATGAATCAATGGATGCACTGATATCCAACTGTCCTAGAACAGTATGGGCCCTGTCCTATAAAATTCTTATGGGTCCTCATCAACCCATGCTATTGCTCATATACAGAAAAACTTCTGAACACTCTTACTAGAAACCAAATAAGATAGAAATGCTCCTACAGAGAGCTTATTTACCTAGCTAGTAAAAGGTCCAAAGCATCAGTCATTATTAACACATTAGTCCAATATACACCGACAGTCAAGGAAACAGTGAAATCCGTTAAGACATCGGGATTTCACTCACCTCTGTATCGTGCTGCCCATCCCAAAAATCAATAGTATACATATTAGCCTGTATCAACTGATGTTCATTGATACTTTGAAACTTGACTAAAAGTTCATGGAGGAAGGTCTTTCCTTTCTCTGTCCCAAAACTCCTCTCATGCCACCAAAACTACATTGTGAAGTGTGAAGTTTAAACCCCCCAACCCCCTTAAATAATTTCTGAAGAAGCTGCCAGAGCTCAGTAGAGGTTATGCTGATGATGAAGCTACTTGTTTGGCTTGTATTGGTTGGTCACCATGGAGGACTCCTGGTTTGTTTGTGTTTACTACTTTGATGCAATATAAAGAAATAAGGGAATAAACATTAGCTTTTGATGCCATTAGATAATTTAGACCCTGCACAAGTTGGGGCCAAATAAACCTTGAAATTATTTGTGCAAACGTCCCTGCATCATAAACCTTGAAATTAAAGGGCAAGAGGACCAAGTCGGAAAAATCATCACCACAGGTAAAGGTGGAATTACTTCATTGGAAAATCTATTCACCAAAACATTCTGCATTGCCCAAATGTCAAAAGAGAAACTATTCCAGAAAATTGATAATCAAAACACGTAAACAAGGCTCTTTCGAGAAATTTAAAACCCTAGAACAAAACCTCACCGAATTCATACTTCCCCAAGTATTCAGAATAAAAAAAAAAAAAAAAGAAAAGAAAAGAAAACCAACTTCCTACATCAATTATCGCATAGCAAAACAAGAAGATTTGGCATTTAAGTAAATTTTGAAAAATAAATACCCACAGAAATAAACCCAACCTTGTTATCATCATCACTACAACCAATAACAATGAACCTAAATGAAACAAACCCTCATGAAAAGAAGTGCTAAAATTCCAAAAAACGAAATAAAGAWACCTTCAATGAAGAAAGAAGAAACGAACTGGTAGGCGCCTGTAACCCTGAAACAGTGAAGGTTTTCTAGTTAAGAAATCTGAAGAAAGAAGAAAAGAAACTGTAAACGAACCTTCCAGGCGCCTGAYCATGCTATTGGATGATGCTCAGAGATAGATCGATGCTATAATTGGGATGTGATCCTTTGCATATGTTGGATCAAGTAAAGAGTATAAACAACCAGTCCATGGAGAGATAAACAGATGCCATGCCAACTCCAAGAGCAAGAGAACCCAAACCTACTGCACATGTTACAGAGATCCTCAAGAAAGCTTGAAATAATTTTGCATCACTGAGCAGGTGCTTAACCCAATCCAAGAAGTAAAATACCTACACCACTCATTATACATTAGACTCCCATGACAACTTTATATGCTTAAATCAACAATTGAAAAATTACCTAAATAGAAAAACAAAAGATATCACATTTCCAACAGTAAGCAACCATCCTATTCTAATAGTAGGGAAGGTCATATTTGTGAAATATTAACCATAGAATATCTAAAGAAATCCATGGAACTACAATGGACTCGATTTGAATATTTGACCAATGCAATTTTCTAAAAACAGAATATGCAGCAGGATCATCTTTTTCATAGAGAAAAATCAAACAAGATAGTTCCCATTACTTTTTAGCCAGACGGACTCAATTGTTTTAATGAGAAAAAGGAATCCCAAAGATTTGTCGATCTTCAATATATTAAACCTGGATTTGATAAAAAAAAGTATTGGACCTGGTCAATTCTGCTTGTACATGCTTCTAGTTTTGTGACTATCTTGTAATTTTCACACTTGTCTATGAATACATAATAAGATATTGCTTCTTGTCCTATTTTTCTATTTTCATATTTTGGGCTATATAAAGGAATGTGGGTTTTTTTTAATACAAGAAATGCAATTCTCAGGTATCCGAACTATTTATTCAATGGATAACAGTTGATTCTAGATATTGATAGGGAAATTCCTAGATGTATTTTAGCTAGCTTTCAAATTTTACATTTTACATGAAATTTTCAATGCTCAACTAAAATAATATATGCAATCTGCAACACAGTGATTTAGAGAGCATCTATCTATATGTTGATTCATATTTGGTTAATTATTTGGGTGAGCTTACAGCTTAAGTTTCAAAGGTGAAATCATGCTAAAATAATGGTAACTTTGTAGATGCAGAAATTAGCATTAATGCAGGTGATGAGTTTATTGTTGGATTTACAAAGAGATGACTATTCCCTTTGAAAAGGGATCATTGCTTGGTGAAATGGTAAAACCTTGTCTTGACAAGCATGGGAGTCTGGGGGTGGTTACTTATTGCAAAAAATAATTGAGGTTAGGAGTTTACTTGGTCAACCCCTCTAAAAACCCTCCATTACCAAGACCAGTATTGGTTAATGATCTTCTAAAAACTATTGCAGGTTGCCCCCATATCCATTTCCAAGTTAAAGCATGTACCCAACATATTGGAGCTTTGGGTTAGCAGAGGCTAGATATTTGATAGGACCAGAACACATAACTTGATCTTGAATAATGAAATTTAATTCATGGAAAGGACATAGTTCTCCCATCAATGATCAAACTCATGGCCTTCCCCCTACAAAGCAAAAGCACTAAAGCAATAACTTAGGGGGATGATTACTTTTATATGCACAGAAACAAACTTGCGTGGGGGCTACACTAAAGCTAGAATTCAGGTCCTACCAAGCTTGTAAATAGGACAATTCCAATGCCCAACATTGTCATTTTGAATTGCAGGTTGGACCAATCCAAATTGGGCTAGAATTTCCCAGTCATTTTCAATGTAAAAAACTAAGGGTGTTTTATCCAACATGAATGTTTTTTCTTTCCCTTATTTCTGGAATACGCCATATCACTAAACAAAGATAAAAACAGCACAGAATTGAAAATATTTTTAATCTTATTTTAAAAAGAATAATTTTATTTCTGAAAAAAACTCTTCTACCCCATACCAATGGTAATGTGTAATGCACAGAAAGCTCTTAAACAGCTTAGGCTGTAAAATCAAGTTAAATTTCAAAACACACACACACACAAGAATTTCGTGTAAAACTTGTATGCTTACCTTTAAAACCACCATAACAGTAACCATTACCAACCAAGAAAGTCCATACACCTAATAGAAAGGTTAAATGTAAAAAAGAATGTTGTTAGGCATTATATGGTCATAGTATTCTAAGAGCACATGCATAATTGCAGAAAAGAAAACCATACAAAAAGATTATAGCTATGATGGACTATATTAAGATTGTAGACAATGCCATAATGATAGTTTAAATCAGTATTGTTTAGTTTAATGAAAACTATAAATTTCATGTGTTGGTAGGGCCCACATATAAGTATTGTTTTGTTATGATGGGCTATGTAAATATGCAAATGTATGTCATATTGGGTTATAGTTTTCAAAAAAGAAAAAAAAAAAGTATGCCTTCAAAACTAGTTTTGTGAAGTTTAATTGAATTGAATCAATGATAGATGTAGTGACTGGTGATTGGTGTTGGGGGGACCCACATATTTATTTATGTAAGTTCTATGTGTTCGTAAGGCCCACATATCAATATTGTTTAGCTTTTATATTGGTGAAGCTCATACATTTGCATATTTACATATGTTCTTAATTTATATGTATTTTGACTCTAGATTACTTTAAAAAAAAATCTTAAGTTTTTTTAATATCTTTAACTAGGCTTTAAACATATAAACCTTGATGTATATTATGCACAATCTAACTTTTATATTTGTTTTTCTTGTTTTCCAGGTTGAACCAATACAAAAATGATAGAAGGCTTTATTAAAGATGTTGAAGATACATTTTTTTTTTGTGATTTATTATTATATGTAACAAGAATTTTGTACTTTTTTCCATATCATTAATGTATGAAACTCACATTAAAATGTACATTTGTTTTTAATTAATATGTTAGTTTTCATTAAATTTTATTTGAAATTTTAGTGTGATGTTATAGGTGTTAATCAGGTTTTGGTGACGGATATACGGTACCCACTACTAATATATTCAATTATTCGGGTTCTCTTTTAGCRGCGGATATATCCTTTGCTAAAAAGCATGTTTTTTTTTCATTTTTTCGATCTGTCGCTGCACATTTGGCTTTTCATTTTTAGCGGCAAATATATCTACCGCTATATATCAAATGCGGTTGTTTGCAATAGATATATCCATCGTCATATGATGAATTGAAGCATTTATAGCGGCAGATATATGAATTGATGATAATTAAATAACCTTTTAGTAACAGATATATATGCCACAATAATAATTTTTCCGCCTCTATTGAAGACTTACAGTGGCGACTTATTTATACGCTACTATAACCTATACTAACGATGCTTACAACAACAAAAATGGATCCACTGTTAAAAATCTATAGCGACGGTTTTCTAATGTATAGCAACGGATTTTTCCGCCACTATAAGCTGATTTTGTTGGAGTGTATATAATGGCCTTTCCCTTTGATTTTATGATTTACAATTTGCACTAAATAATTCCTTACTGGTGTTATATATTATTCATCACTTATGCATAAGGTTGAATAATATCTAGCTTTTGCTAGGAGAAATATATTTCATATGCTTTGTTTTGTTTTAATATTTGAGGTTATAAAAATAAGTTTAAAAACAACTATTATGGACGTTTTGTACTTGTTATGATAGCATAACTATATGTATATTATTTTCTAAAATTRATATTCAATACAAACAAGCATTCACCTCAGCAATTTTAAAAATCTTAAAATCTTTATAGCTGAAGGGATTTTTCTTTTGAATAAAAATTCATCAACAAAAGTAAGAGAAGATGAATTAAGTTCTGATTTTAGAAATATGTATATTGAAGTGCTTATTATACATAAAGAATCTTTAATTCGACAATATGGTCGTTTTAAAACAATTGGAGATGCAACTGGAGCAAATATCGTTAGGTCATCATTTTCTGTAAGTTATATTTTAATTATAATTACTTTTAAATGATGTTTTATATGCAATTTAGTCTACATGACATTAATTTTTTATTTTTTATTYTTTCCTTTTTTTAGGTTGAATATGTAAACAAGATACAACAATAGGCATATGGAGCATGATTTGAAAAAGTCACAACTTTAAAATTATTTTATTCTTTCTTTCTTATTATGGTGGATGTATAGAAACTTTAAAATTTAAAGTTGTTATTGAATTACTTGTATAGAAACTTTATTATGGTTGATATATTATATTTTGTTATTGAATTACTTGTAATTAAAGTTAAAAATATAAAAATATGATATTTTGCATAAAAAAGTGTTATAAGTTTTACAACTTATGAATTCATGATTATTTTATATTGATATATACAAATTGATATAGCGACGGTTATAATCGCCACTATACACCACTTATTTCTATCGCTATAAATCTATTAATTTTTATAACGATAGATATAATTGTCGTTATACATAAAATATATGTCATAATGTAGTTTATAGCAGAGATTATATTCACTACTATATGTATAACATATGTCAAAAATTAATTTATAACAACAAATATAACCACTATTATATGTAATATATATACCACCAATTAATTTATAGTGGCGCATATAATAGTTGCTATATAATTATATTATAGTTTATAGTAGTGGTTATATCCACTAATATATGTTTTATACTCATGAGATATTACATTTATCAATGGTTACAAAAGTCGTTATTTCATATATATGTCGTGATTTTGATCTATAGTAGCGTATTATATTTCGCTATCGTTTAATTTAACAACGAATGTCATGTTTTTA